TGAATTGCAAGGTCAGTGGTTCAAACCCACTAGCTGCTTCTTGGGAACTCTGTACAGGGTTGCTGTGACTCAGAACTGACTCAACAGCACTTAACAACAACAACAGAGTAATAATTTTGGGGATCATCTAACCTCAATGTAGGGTCACCTTCTTCATGAGGTTTTTGCACACTCAAACCCTCTGTGTTCCTCCCATGTATTAGAACTGATGATTAGAACTGATAATTATGCCTTCTTTTAAGGAAAGAGGTAAATCCTTAGCTTTCTTAAAACACTTCAGTGGAGTTACTTGTTTACATTTGTCTTCCCCTTTCAACCAGACTGCAATCTTCTCAACTGCAGGTGCTACATCCTCTCCTCTGTCACGGCTACTTGATGCATTGTGTTTGACATGTGGTAGGTGTTTAAGCTGGATGATCAACATATGCTTTTGTTTTAATGTGAACCTTATTCTTTCTGCTTGTTACATGATCTTCTTTTGGTGGGAAAAAGAACCCCTCTCCTCCCAAGAGAAAATGATTATCATAGTGAATTGTTTTTTTTCTTTCTCCTTGCCTAGGGAATGAAGGGGAGGGGAAGATGGGAACTAGTGATAATTTGGGAGATGAAGAGAAAGGGAGAGAAACTATGTTTCAAGATTCATTATGTCCTTTCACCCCTGCCTTTAACCTTCTTATTTTAGAAAATTTTGTCCCTTCCATTTTCTGAATGTGTAGAATGGCTTTATTTCATGTGGCTCTTACCAGGCCAGAACCAACACCTGGAGCCTGTGGATCCCTTATCTCTGTTGCTACAGCTGGGAAAGATAAGCACATAAGTCTCTGACATTAGCAGTAACTTTTGAATGTGTTTTCCTATAGATGAGTTATCAAACATTTTGCATTACCCTTGTTGTTAGGTGCTATTGAATTGGTTCTGACTCATAATGATCCTATGTACAACAGAACAAAACAGTGCCTGATGCTGCTCCATCCTTACAACCATTGCTGTGTTTGAGCCCTTTGTTAAATCCATCTTGTTGAATGTCTTCCTCTCCTTTACAAGCATGACATCTTTCTCCAGGGAGTGGTTCCTTCTGATAAAGTCTAAGTCCGTGGACTAAGTCTTGCCATCTTGCTTCTAAGGAGCATTCTGGTTTTACTTCTTGCAAAAC